ATAACTGAACCAACCAGGCTAAAATCCTGTATTGACCACTTAATTAGCAATATTGACGACGCCTTTGCTGAATTACATCATTTGTATCTATCTGACCATAATACATCACAAATGTTGCATATACCAGTACAATATAAGCACGAAAAACCAGTCTTATGTTATATAAATATGAGAGACTATAGTTTTGAAAATTTAAATAAATTTAGAGATCACTTGAAATGTTTATCATTCTCTGATATTGTAAATATGACTGATATGGATAAAGCAATGCTATCATTTCATGGCATTCTGAAAACCATGTATGATTTAAGTTTTCCAATGAAAAAAGTTAAATTAATCTGCAAATATAAAAAACCATCTTGGATAACCAAAGGACTAAGAAACAGTTGCCAAACTAAAAGAAAATTAAGATATGAATACTATAAATCTAAATCAACAAACAAAAAGCAACAATATAGAATCTATTCAAAACTGCTTCGTAAATGCTTTAGTCTGTCTCAAAAAATATACAATCAGAAGCTAATAAATAAAGCTAAAAACAAATGTAAAATAACATGGAAAATTGTTAAAAATGAAACTAACCAATTATCAAATGACATTATAATTGACAATATAACAATAAATAACAAAACAATTAAAAATCCAATTCGAATAGCCGATGAGTTTAACAATTACTTAATAAAATAGTCGGCCGTTTGGTGTAGTGGTTCAGAACGGACTACTATGCCGAGAGGTGCCGGGTTCGATTCCCGGCCGGGCAGAAATTGAAATGATGAATTTTAATTTCTGTGACGGGTCTGGGTGTTACTATGTATAATATGTATGTATTTAAAAAAAGAAAAGTATATAAGTAGTATATCCGTTAAGCTAGCACCCATAACACAAGCATATTAATTGCTTACTTTGGGGCTAGATGGCGCTGTGTGAGATTGTCCAAAGATATTTATTTATAAAAAATTAACAAATGAAAAGAAGACACTTAAAAACACAAATAAAATTCGTTTAAATAGTATATTCCTGGAACCATACACAGTTAGCGAAATAAAAACTATAATCAAATCTCTTAGTAATACAAATGCAACTGGTTATGATGGAATCTCTACAAAAGTAATTAAACATTGCAACGATGAACTTGCTGTGCCACTCACTCATCTGATAAATTTATCTTTTGAGACTGGTTGCTTTCCTGAATTGTTAAAATTGTCGATTGTTAGGCCTATTTATAAAAAAGGAGAAAAATCATTGCTAGAAAACTATCGTCCTATAACACTAGTGCCGGTTTTGTCAAAAATCTTTGAGAAGGCCATGAAAGTCAGATTGCTTAGCTATATCTCCAAATTTGGCATACTTAAGAATGAGCAATGCATGCGGTGTTCCGCAAGGTAGTGTTTTGGGACCTCTACTTTTTATACTTTACATAAACGACCTTCCTGACGTAACAAATCATAGATGTACACTTTTTGCAGATGATGTTTCGGTAGTAATCCCGTCCACAAAAAAGTCTGAGGAACATGAAACTGACAAATGGTACAATTGACAAAATAATAATATACGATTTATTTATTTTTCAAGACATTTTCCTATGTTAAAAACCCGATGTATAACAAATAAATCTTTCTTTGAACAATTTCACACAGCGCCAGCTAGCCCCAAAGTAAGCAACTCAATGCTTGTGTTATGGGTGCTAGCTTAACGGATATACTACTTGTATCCTTTTTTTTTTCTATTAAATACATACATATTATACATATTTACACCCAGACCCGTCACAGAAATTAAAATTCATCATTTCAATTTCTGCCCGGCCGGGAATCGAACCCGGGACCTCTCGGCATAGTAGTCCGTTCTGAACCACTACACCAAACGGCCGACACAATAACATGGCTAAATGATTACAATTTAACAGTAAATTTAAACAAAACTAATTTTATACAATTTGGGACAAATAGACAGACTAAACAAAAACTTAATATACATTATAATGATATAGACATTCAAGAAGCAGATAGTACTAAATTTTTGGGCGTTATCATAGATGATAACTGTGGCTGGAAGCAATAAATAGGANTTAATCGAATTGTTAATCGATAAATTGTTTTTTTGGCAATTCGATTAATAATCGATCCGTGATCGATTATGCGACAACACAACAACTTAACTGGTAGAAATCCCATTGAAACATGACTGTGTTCATGTCATTTCTCTAAATGGTACCTAGATTAGATATGGTCCTACGGTTATAATGTAGAACATGGTTTAAATAAACCATTTGTTGGCCCCACTCCTGAACTGTTGTACATAATAATGGATAAATAATTTAATGTATTTAAAATGTAAGTAGATAAGTATATTAATTAATAATATTTTTTGTTTGCGTAATAAAGCACCTATTACTATTACACATTATGTCAATTTCCAAGCAAACCCGGGAGTTTTTGATAGTTACTTATATGAAAATATATTTCTGATATTAAGTCCTAACAAATAATAGTAGTTACAATTCTGTTGGTTTTACGCCCAGATTCCATAGAAAAGTGCCCATCATCCTTTATCTTTTGAGACTGGTTGCTTTCCTGAATTGTTAAAATTGTCGATTGTTAGGCCTATTTATAAAAAAGGAGAAAAATCATTGCTAGAAAACTATCGTCCTATAACACTAGTGCCGGTTTTGTCAAAAATCTTCGAGAAGGCCATGAAAGTCAGATTGCTTAGCTATATCTCCAAATTTGGCATACTAAAGAATGAGCAATTTGGATTCCAGGCAAATAGGTCTACAACTCTTGCCATGTTTCATCTGTTGCGTGAAATAAACAGGAATATAAATGCTGGAATACCCACAACAACGGTATTTTTTGATATGACACGAGCATTTGATTTTGTGTCCCACGACCTACTGCTACTTAAATTGGAAAACATGGGAGTGCGGGGTTTGGCTCGAAGTTGGTTAGAATCTTACTTGCGGAATAGAAAGCAGGCAGTTGAAATCACTAGCTTAGATAAAAATAACATTGTAATAAATAATAGATCACAGTTTTTAGAGAATGCATGCGGTGTTCCGCAAGGTAGTGTTTTGGGACCTCTACTTTTTATACTTTACATAAACGACCTTCCTGATGTAACAAATCATAGATGTACACTTTTTGCAGATGATGTTTCGGTAGTAATCCCGTCCACAAAAAAGTCTGAGGAACATGAAACTGACATAAATGGTACAATTGACAAAATAATAACATGGCTAAATGATAACAATTTAACAGTAAATTTAAACAAAACTAATTTTATACAATTTGGGACAAATAGACAGACTAAACAAAAACTTAATATACATTATAATGATATAGACATTCAAGAAGCAGATAGTACTAAATTTTTGGGCGTTATCATAGATGATAACTGTGGCTGGAAGCAACAAATAGGAGCATTACGGGATAAATTAAACCGTTATGTATTTGTTCTGAGAAGACTGCGCTACACATCTACCTTGAATGCTTGTCTTGCAGCATATCATGGATATGTCGGCTCAATTCTGAGGTATGGACTTTTGGTTTGGGGAAATTCTACTGACATGAATTTATTATTTAAAGCGCAAAAAAAATGCGTAAGGGCAATTTGTGGTATGTCCCCTCGTCAATCCTGTGAGCCTGTCTTTAGAAAGCTACAAATATTGCCCCTACCTTGTCTGTACATCCTTGAGGTAGCTTTGTTTGTGAGAAATAATATTAATTTATTCAAAAAGCGAAAAGATGTTGTAAACTTCAATGTTAGAGATCCTAGTCATCTAGTATATGATAGCTTACCTAAACTTAAACATTATCTTGATCAGTGTGATGCCATGTGTGTTAAGATATACAATTGTATCCCGAACCATATCAAAAACCTACCAAATGCAAGATTCAAAAGGTCGCTTATAATATGGCTAAGTGACATGAATTTTTATAGGGTAAAGGACTTTCTTAATATGAGACATTGTAATAAGAAATTTTGACTAATTATTTTTGACATCATATTATTTTAATTGGAAATTGTATTTTTTTTTGACATTAATAATTAATCTTCATCATTAACATTATTATTAAATTGTAAATATTTGCATGCCATTTATAGTAAGGTAAAACATGAGCACAGTTATTATTATTATCTATCCACATTTATATGTATATCACCATGTTTTAAGCAAATAAATTTATTTGATTTGATTTGATTTGTACTAATCGGTTAAAAAAATAACGAGAATTTTCGTTTTTTCAGAAAAGTATTTATTTATTGATCTACATTAGTATTTAAACTTTTAAAATAGTCCCTATTATACATTATACACGTGTGTTAGCGCTTCTTCCAATTCTCAAAATACTTCTCAAAGTCGATCTTTGAGATAGCCTTTACATCGATCGGCGACGCGTGTTTAATGTCACTTATGGGGAGTGGCGCCAACTGGTGAGCGCTGAAGCGAAAGGACTAACGCTTCCGCTCTCCCCAAGATGGCGCCACTAGTCTTGCCAGTGGCAAAGACTGATAGTGGCGCCAACTGGTGAGCGCTGAAGCGAAAAGACTAACGCTTCCGCTCTCCCCAAGATGGCGCCACTAGTCTTGCCAGTGGCAAAGACTGACAGTGGCGCCAACTGGTGAGCGCGGAAGCGAAAGGACTAACGCTTCCGCTCTCCCCAAGATGGCGCCACTAGTCTTGCCAGTGGCAGACAGTAGCGCCAACTGGTGAGCGCCGCCGCTTCAGCGCTCACCAGTTGGCGCCACTTGCTAGTCACCCCTCTAGATGAACACTGAACCCCACCAAATAATTGACAGGGGGCGCCACTATCATTCAACTACATAAGTTTCCAACGTGGCAAAAAATCGGAACCAGCGATCCGGTATTGACGGTGGCGTCCCCCTGTTAATGCCACTGGTGGGACCGTTCGTTGTTCATCTAATAAAAGTTTTCGAAGACAGTTTTTTTTTTAATTTATTTATCATTTGAAAAACACAGTACAAACATTGTTAATATTTCGATAGCCTCACTAGGGTTTATTCATATGCGTGAGTTTACTTAATTACAATAACATGCAAACATTGCCACACTGCGGCACGTTAATCTGAGGTTGATCGTATTGAGTAACCTCGGTGTGCGCTTGCAGGACGGCGAGCAAGCAGGAGATCATCAAGGCGTACCGGCGCGCGGCGCAGAAGTGGCACCCCGACAGCTACCACGGCGACGAGAAGAAGCTCGCCGAGAAGAAGTTCATCGACATCGCCGCCGCCAAAGAGGTAACTGGTTTTGTATACCCACCGGCCGCGGGGGCAGCTTAGTGAGTTGTTGCCGGAAAGGCCTGCCCTTCTGGCAAAAACCTGACGTTGCCACTGGTAAGCCATGTGAGTCGGGAACGCGAGACATCACTCAAGCATTCGTTCGCGTTCCCTGCTCGGCGTTCGGCTCGCTTAATGCGCAGCCCCAAACCAAGGGAGGCGTCATTACCTTCAAGCCAGTTTTCACCATCAATCCCTAATTTTTAAGTGACCCCTATGAAAACAAAATTCCGGCTATGTGTTGCCATAGGGGTCACTTACAAATTTGGGTTGATGTGATGGTGAAAACGGGCATCAGCCTCCTTAAACGCTATCAGACACCCCCGTATCTGATGGGCGAGGCCGGTGGTCATAGAGCCCTCCTCCTGTGCCCATGACGTCGGCGGCGAGCAACGGGTGTGTCGGGTGATATTTCCCGCTCCCTCTCCGCCGCTTCCTTCCACAGAAGGTGAGCACTCGGCTGCGTTCACTATGACCTGACCGCTGCCCGCAAAACGCACCCAGTGTGGCAAATGTTGAACACTAGTGTAAAAGTGGTGTGTGCGCAGGTGCTGACGGACCCGGAGAAGCGCGCGCAGTTCGACGCGGGCAGCGACCCGCTGGACCCCGAGGCGGCGCGCCAGGCGCCCTTCCACAGCCCCTTCCACCACTTCCAGCACGGCTCGCCCTTCCAGTTCAAGTTCCACTTCAACTAGCGCCCGACGCGCTCGGCCGCGACGCAAATCGGCAACGTGACGTCCGATTCCACCGCTCGTACAGTCAGCGTCTAGTTCGTGACACCCAATGTGGCCAAATGAGTAGATAACACAACCTTATTCTAAAGACGTGTTGCGAATTTATTGGCTGCTTTGGATGTCACGAACTACCTATTTGAATTAATCTTACATCAAATTCAAACACAAAAATAATGTAACTTTTCAAACATCTAATTTTAGTTTAAAATAAATATCTGAAAATAAAGTGGCGAGCAATATTCTGGCGTCATTTCTAATTATGTACTTTAATTTCACTAAGTCAAGATATAAAATTCAACTAAGTCAAACTACTAATTTATTAAAAAAGTCACAAAATAATGTCAAGCAGAAAAATCAAGGTAGAACAAAAGGTTTAAAGATTATCTAAAAGGTGTCCTAACTCTGGCGCAATTTTCCCTTGACGCTATCTCTGTGACTCCTTATAATCGCCATCAGCTTAAACTCGTAAAAAATACAATAACATCTCTAAATTTATAAATTAATACATAGGTACCTACCTAAATTTTGTTTACAATTACATAGTCTGTTTATGTTTGTAAATTTGCAAAACTAAATCTTTTACACGTCTTAATTTATGTAGTTTTTTTATCCTCCAAAAGTAAGACGTATAAATCAGAGGCATTTTACTGTATAACTAATTGTGTGATATACAAAATATTTTCTTAATCAAATTAATTTACTAATTGAAATAAATTAATGCATTTGATCTCCAAATTCTTTTTAACAAGATTGTAAACAATTCGCATGTTAACGCAAGCCTTACTTATTGTGGGAGCCATAGGCATTATGTGGGTGTGTGTTACGCATTATTCTTGCCATTGCTTACGAAAGGATATCGTATTGAAATAACGTTGACATGCGAGTTGTAAAAGCGTCTTCGCTGCTTGGAATGTTCACTTATACTAATTGTTATGAAGTACAAAATTTCATCGCTTCTTATCATATAACAGGATTTAAAAATGCACTAAGTAACCTAATAGATATTTATTTAAAGCCACACAGTGTGATCACAAGGAACCAGTACGAGCGGCGACCCTGCCCTCTTCCGATCGAATATCAACGACTTCTCCAGTGCAGGGTCGCCGATACCTTAATAGTAAACTTTTTACAAATTTTCATCTAGCCTTATTAGTGATATTTTATAAAAAAAAATATAGATAAATCAAATGTTAATATATCTTACAACGGTGCTACGCTTGTTTGTGAATATCCGTCTGCAAATGAGCAATATTAAATTTAGACCCCCTAAGAATCGCCGTAAGCGCCACTAAATCTGCCCACAACATAAGCGTAGCTCCGCTGTAACGGCGCGAATGAAAATATCAGTCTGCAACGGAGTTCGTCATCTGTCGTGTCACGATACACAGAGGAGTAATATTTTAATTTGCGCATTGTTTGCCGCCCGCGTCCCTATGTACATAATAGCACACATAATAATAGGGTAGATGACATTATTCAATCTAAAAGAGAAAAACCAAATATTGCGTGACGAATATTAATATTATTCCATCAAATCACAAGTAATTCCAATCAAGATCAATCTAATTTGGAATGACATACATTAGTGTAATTTAAACGTTCTGACGTTATTTATTATAATGATGACTCAAAAGTGAATATAACTAATTACTGTGATTTGTTGGATGGAAAATCAGGGGTAAATAAATGAAATGTCAAATACCCTCCCGCCCGCGGGCCGACTGAAGCGAGCGTTAGCAGTAGGCGCGCGCGCGTCATAGACTCAACCGTTAATATTTATTTTAAATAAGTTACTTTGTTGTGATTCTTATACTTGTAAATATTTTAGAATAATAAGCTATTACGACAAAGCATCCAATTCTTTCATTTACAACCCAAACTCTTGGAGACCCCTCACCTGGGCCACACACATCGCAATAACATTCGGGTGACAGCGGATCGAAGTCCTTGCGACTATGGAAAATAAATCCGAAGTCTTGGCTAACATCGCGAATGTTTGTTTGTGCTTTGGGTTATCGCGATGTGTGTGGCCTAAGGGCATAAAGTCGCATAAAACATGATCAATTAAAAATTACACCAGAAAAGTTTTAATTAATTATAATACAACTTATTAATAATCATTACCAAAAAAGAAAATGAACATTTCTTGTGATCTATGCTATAACATAAATTAAATAAATACTTTATCAAGATAAGGCTACACATAATCTAAAATATTAACATAGAACATCGCCAATGAAAATCCACAGGTCCGACAATATCGAGACAAAAATAAAGCGTGGTCCGTGAGTACCTAGAATTTTGTTCAATGACCCCAAGCTACCCATCCTTATCGCTCGCGCGTAATTATGTTGCTGTCACGCTCGCACACTCACTGCGGGCGCCCGTCGCACAGTCGCGACAGCAATATAATTACGCGCGGGCGATAAGGATGGGTAGCTTGGGGTCATTGGACAAAACTACGTGCTCACGGACCAGGCTTTAGACGAACTACAGCTAGACAAAATAGACGTCCGAGTCGATGCTAGTTACTCAGACTGAACTCTTACCTCTATAAACTGTCCAGGCGCTCGGCCCACGCGACCCTCGCCTGCCGGGCGCCGCCGCCCACCGCGCGCAGCTCCCGCGAGACGCGCTCGATCTCGTTGCTGAGCTTGGCCTTGTCCTCGGGCAGCTCGCACACGAAGTGGTGCCGCAGCGAGCAGTCCTGGCCGCGGTACGCATACGTGGCCAGCGCAGGGTCGTGCACCAGCGCCAGGCAGCGGCCGTCGCCCACGATGGTGGCGGCGGGCGCGGTGGCGTTGCCGGCGGTGGCGTTGTGCGCGACGGGCCGCGCCGAGTGCGACCAGATCCACAGCAGGCCCGGGTTCAGCCCGCCCGTCCACCAGTCCGTGCCTGAAAAGTTCAGAAATACGTTCAAATCTGTTGGGAAGAAAAACCCGGGATTCGGTATTGGCATTGTTCCAAATGTTCCAAACCAACACATGTTTAGCGCCATCTCTTATTTTGTAAAGCTCCATCTATGATTCTTCTTACTTTCTTACCGAACTAACTAGAGTAACGAACTGATTCATATAAAGAACCATAGATGGCGCTACACACTAAGTCCGTGCTGTATGCGCGGCCATTTTCACATTCCCTTTCGAACCACTACTGTCTGTAAAACTACTGCGTGTGAATACAAACCTTTTACTTACCAAACGTCTCCTGAATTTCGTGAGTTTTTATTTGCTCACATGTAGTAGGTACAGTGTTGTTAAGTCTCTAATAAAATTGTAATGGCCGAGTGCCTCAGATTAAGTTTAGCCAGGCCTGGCTCACTCCGCGCGGTACATCCGATAATTACCTACAGCGAAGCGCCCCGCCGGCGGGTATTATATCAGTCGAGTGTCACGCGCGCGCCCGTCAGGACGCTGGCGTGCGTTGTAGTACTTAATTCTATGATAGAAGTATTATTTAAAAATGGACATAAAGAGAAAGAAATATTATTGTGCAGCGTTCTGGTGTTTAAATTCGAAAAGACATCTACCGGATTTATCTTTTTTTTCGCTTCCCAAAGATGCTGAAAGGTATGTTGGCCATGTAGGTAATCAATAATTCTTAGGATAGTATAGGAACCTAACCTACCATGACTACTGCTCAGAATGCGTTCGTTCGTTTCAGCCAAAAATGACGTCCACTGCTGGACAAAGGCCTCTCCCAAGGTTTTTCATAATGAATGCGTACTTACCTACATACGTACCTCATTACAAATAAGTAGATTAAATATTTTTTACTTGACACTACTAAACAGCAACCCTAACAGCGTAAGAACAGGCCTGGCTCACTCCGCGCGGTACATCCGATAATTACCTACAGCGAAGCGCCCCGCCGGCGGGTATTATATCAGTCGAGTGTCACGCGCGCGCCCGTCAGGACGCTGGCGTGCGTTGTAGTACTTAATTCTATGATAGAAGTATTATTTAAAAATGGACATAAAGAGAAAGAAATATTATTGTGCAGCGTTCTGGTGTTTAAATTCGAAAAGACATCTACCGGATTTATCTTTTTTTTCGCTTCCCAAAGATGCTGAAAGGTATGTTGGCCATGTAGGTAATCAATAATTCTTAGGATAGTATAGGAACCTAACCTACCATGACTACTGCTCAGAATGCGTTCGTTCGTTTCAGCCAAAAATGACGTCCACTGCTGGACAAAGGCCTCTCCCAAGGTTTTTCATAATGAATGCGTACTTACCTACATACGTACCTCATTACAAATAAGTAGATTAAATATTTTTTACTTGACACTACTAAACAGCAACCCTAACAGCGTAAGAAGAGTTCAGAGGCACGCGATAGAAAGAAACAAAACTTGTAGGTGAACAAAATTGTAGGTACGTAGTGCTGTGTGAGCTGAATTCCACTGTATCGCGTCGTAGCAAGACTCGCATTTATTTAAATCGTCTTGCGGAGTAATCCTTCTGTACCTGTACTATTACTTATTCTGTGGTTTAGCAGAGTGCGGAGTGCGGACCAAATCGATAATAAGCAGCACGCACAGATGTAGCGCCATCTATGGTTCGTTGTATGAATTCGCTTGTGCCGACTCCCGGTATAAAGTAGTTCAAAGAAAAGAAGAACCATAGACGGCGGTTTACAAACAATTACTTATGTAAATAGATGGCGCTAAATATGTATATTGGTTTACAGGATTACTAAATGTATAGCCAAAAATCTCTTTCCCAAAATATCACATCACAAACCTCACCTTTGTATCTTTGAAAGGTTCCTATTTCATTGACAGACCTTTGGAGTTGGCAGTGAACAGTGAATGAGTCTCGTAGGTATCGACAGAGGAACAGTCTCACTTTCTCGTAGGTATCGATGTCGCAGGCAAATTGTATGATTCCGCATTTTACAAACGGCGTCGTCAGTTTACAAACGCTCGCTGTTCTATGAAATGCCGAAGGTAAATTGGCGACTCGTTCAATTGATAAAATTTCGACTATGATTGTTGCAATAGGGTGACCATCATAAAACACATGTTGGACAAATCAGACTTAATTTCAGAAATCAGGTCTAGGTATCTATTCAGGTAAGACAAACCTAAAATACTAGCTACTCCTAAAGTAATTAAAATATTTTCGTAATAAAAACAACACTAAACTAATTTAAACTATTGACGTACGTACCTATAGGTAAAACTATGACACAAAATAAGTTTCGATAGTCAGTCCTTTAATTCTTACATTTTAATTATACCTAGAAGAAGTCTAGAAGACAACACAATATTTTTTTAAACCAATAATATTCCGCAGCAGTCCACCACCAGTCCGAGCACCAGATTCCATTGTCACCTTAGCGTTTTTTACGTGCCGGATAACCTCAAAAACTATTTCATTTTTCTCTTTATCAAAATTACAAATCTAGAGCCATTTTCAGTTTCGTTGATAACGAAGCTTTGAATGGCGCGCCCGGAGTGGCTTAGTTCAAACGATCATTGCAAACGTTGTGATAGGGATAGACACATGCGATTTTTGGTTTTACGAAGATAATACGATAGAGAATAATAAAAAGTAATAAAAACTACCTGTTATAGGGGCATTTTTTGGAGAAATTTATCAAATAACCAAAAAAACACGAATTTTAAAGCAATTTTTTTTCAAAAAGTATCATTTTTATTATTTGTTTGCCTTTTTTGTGTATTTTATGTATTTTTTTAGTATCGCCTGTTATTTAGCATTATTACTGTTTTTATTTTATCAGGATATACCGCTTAGTTTAAAAGTTATTACGTTTTCTTTACAATAAGTAATTGGAAGAAAAAAAATTAAAAAAAAATCTCAAAAAATTTTTGACCTCTTTTTTGTCGATAAAAATAGGTCTAGTTTCATCTATTTTCATATGTACACTTTAACGTGACTCACACTGTATAAAAGGAGAAACTGACTGACTGACTGACAGATCAACGCACAGCCTTAACGGCTAAACGTAGGCACTTGAAATTTCGCAGGGACGTAGCTTAGGTACCGTAGAGGTGCACTAAGAAAGGAATTCCCGAAATTCCCACGGGAACGGGAATTAGTAAATAACGATAAGTTACAATCCTTTTGTATGAAAAATCTAAACCGCTTAAGTTAGACGCTTGAAATTTGGTATGCAGGTACCTTAGTAAACTTAAAGCTTAGGTACAACAGGATATTGCAAAATTCCCACGGGAACGAGAATTAGCGGGAAAAAACATTTGTATGAAAAAATCTAAACCGCGTAAGATAAGTAGACCCTTGAAATTTGGCATGCAGGTACCTTAGTAAACTTAAAGCTTAGTTACAACAAGATATTGCAAAATTCCCACGGGAACAGGAGTTAGAGGGAAAAAACATTTGTATGAAAAAATCTAAATCGCGTAAGATAGATGAAGGGGGTGAAACGGGATCCACGCGTACGAAGTCGCGGGCGGCCGCTAGTCTACTATATAAAAATAAGTCGGGTTTTCCTTCCTGACGCTATAACTCCAGAACGCACGAACCGATTTCCACGGTTTTGCATTCGTTGGAAAGGTCTCGGGCTCCGTGAGGTTTATAGCAAAGAAAATTCAGGAAAATTTAAGAAACGAAGTTCCACGCGGGCGAAGCCGCGGGCGGAAAACTAATGCCACATATAAATATGCTCGGATCTGGCCTAAATAAAAGATAAATATTTATTTGCAACACCATTATGTAAACATAGGGTAAATAAGTAAGGCTTATAGCTAAACATCTTGGACGATTTGGTGAAGGTTGCGGGAGGTGCCTGGATGCGGGCGGCGCACCGGACTTTGTGGAAATCCTTGGGGGAGGCCTTTGTCCAGCAGTGGACGTCATTCGGCTGAAACGAACGATAGCTAAACATAGATTATTATGGACCCTGTTGGGCACTGCAATGGGAAGAAAGAGTTTTGATACTAGTAGGTATATCTCTAAAAATTGCCTGTAAAAGGATGCACTACTTACTTAATAGTTATGCCTTCTAAGTACAGTTGTTGAGAATAGAGTAAAAGATTGAACATGGTAATTTACTTATTTACACAAGTACCTAAGTATCAAAATATTTAAACTTTCACAATTACTCACTACAGACTATCCTTCAATAAACCACACTTAATTTACTTCGAATAAAGGATGTTTGTTTTACCCAATACAGGATTCGGCCTCGTTATGGAAACCTAAGTCATGATGAGTAATCGCAAATGACACAATGGCTGGTATGCAAAATGTTGCAACGCAAGGTCCTACTCACGCTGGCTTATGTAATCTGTTTACGACAGCCAGTTAATCTCATGATATTAACAGAAAGTTACTTGGTGGGCGAACGAGATGCCGGACTTTCTCCGTGACATTCAAAGCGTTCTCAGGTATTTTGCAACTAAGTTAATGTATGAACTCCGATTAAACGAGCGATACTTTACGTGGTTAGGTAAGACAGCGTGTTAAGACTAATATCTAAGATATTTTCCCCCAGCACAAAACATTGTGGTTTTCAAATTCAATGTTATCAATATGTGGCTGGATATTATGTCAGTCTAAAAAACCAAATCTTAGTTAGTACAGAATAAACTCCTACCTACATAATAATATAAGAAATTACTGTGCCTTGCGTAATTACTATGCATTAAGTATGTACTTTCTATAGTAGAAAATTCAGTAGTGTACTTACTTACCTGGTAATCGAATGGTAAACGAAAAAGAGGCGATGTGAAATTGGAAGTCCAGCGCTTTTAGCTTAAAAGAAGACAGTAGAGCCTAATAAAGTTTTCAATGCATTTTCGAAATAATTAGGTTTAAAAACGTAGAATTTACCTGGCTTAGTGTCCTTGCCGACGACGAGGTAGTGCACGGCGTCCTCGAGCTTGCGCAGGCGCTTCTCCATGAGGTCCACGCGGTACACCAGCTTCTCGATGGCCGTCAGCAGGTACAGGTCCGTCTCCGACACCTGCTTGGGCGGCGTCGCCGGCGCGTCCACGCGGTCCGCGGCCGGCCGCTGCTGATGCTGCTGGTATGGTGGCTGCTGGTGTGACGACTGTTGGTGTGGCGGCTGCTGATATGGTGGCTGCTGATGCGGCGACTGCTGATGTTGTAGCTGTTGGTATGGCGGCTGCTGGTGATGTTGCTGTGGGTGCGGCGGCTGCTGGTATAGCTGCTGCTGGTGCGGCGGCTGAGGCTGCTGCAGAGGTATGGGCAGGTTTTGAGATGGCGGCGGCTGGGGATGGATGCCATCGTTAAGAGAGAAAGTTTTAGTAAGAACTGGAGGACAATTTTAAATATTTATTACGAAGATCAAGATGAACAGATCACAAGGCTTAATAAAAATGCGGAATATCTAATATGAAAGCAGGAATTGATGTCGACTAACAAGTTATTTAATACTTATATGTTTTTCACCCAAGGGCATATGGATCTAATTTTTATTTTACTGTAGTAATTTATGATTTAAAGATAGGATGTAGTATCAAAGGCATACTCACATAGCTAGGCTTGAACTTGTCCTTATACGGGTTGGGGGGCCTATTGACGATCTTGCCGTCGGCCCCCGGGTCGGGCGGCGCGGCCTGCCACTCGTCGTAGGGCGCGTAGGCCGGGCCCTGCTGGAGGGCGGGCGGCGGCGGCATCAGGTCCATGCGCTCCGACACGTAGTAACCCTTGGTCGGCGGCAGAGACATTACCCGACCTGCAAATGCAATATTAGTAGTTAAAATGTGGAGTAAGGGAAAATTTTTTTTGAGCTGGACAAAGTCTGAAAATTAAATAAAACAGATACAGATAAGCATAAAGTCATGGGCTTTAGTACTACGGTAATTTTATTTATTAAATCCCCTTTCTATCGCGAATATATAGCACATCAATTTTATTTATCTAATTTTAGGATAGGTAACAGCGTAATAACCATAGTAAGTAGGTAAGTAAAGAGCTCTAAAAACCAACTCACTTTATTGCACACCAAAGAACAGAACAGAAAGAAAAGGAACACATAAGGTACAACTAGGCGGTCTTATCGCTATGAAACGATCTCTTCCAGACAACCTATGGAGAGGACAGTTACTTAAAACAAATATGAAGGGGAAGGCGGCATAAATAAATGTGATTGAGTTTTATTCAATTTAATTAGGAATACCATCAACTTTTCTTCCATCAACTCATCTTTTCTTAGTAACCTTAAATTACAATGTTAGTACCTATTCCTGAAAGGCAAAGATTTTTTGTTAAACATTGTGTTTAGGTAGGTATATCTCGAAAATACTTGTCAAGATGAACTTTTTGTGAAGACTTACCCTGTCTCCCAGTGGAGCCCGGCGCGGTGGCCCAGTCTTCCAGCAGCGAGCCCCAGAGGAAGGGCTCGCAGGTGTCGGTCGAAGTCTCGTTGGACGCGCGAGCGCTGCCCAGCAGCAGCGCCGCCGTCAGCGCGTGACGGAGCACCTTCATCTGCGGGTGATGTGGGTTAGGTTGTGTGTGTTATGTAACAACTCCATATTTTATATTTACTTATAATGTTCTTCTTCCCGCGACCTTTATCAGATCGTCGGTCCACGCTGAAGTCTTTTAGCCGGTGGTCGTCACGCGAGAACTTTTTTGCCCCAACTGGCCATCGACTCTACGAGCTAAGTATGTGCCCCGCCTTCTGCCACTTGATTTTAGAAATTTGGGCAGCGCAGGATCGTTATTATGGAAAGCCTTGTGGGAGGCCTTTGTCCAGCAGTGGACGTCATTTGGCTGAAACTAAAGCTAAAAGAAGTGGGCTGTAAATGGGCTTTTTCGAGAACCATTGGGAGTAGCATAGGGTTTTAAGGTTGTTGTAATCTTCTTAAAAAGACATTATCCAAATACAACTAGAGATGGGTAGTGGGTAAAAACCCATTTCACCCGATTGGGTTAAAACTGGGTGATTATCACCCATTCTGGTGGGTGAAAACAAAAATAGCGTTTTTTTAAAGTGAGAAGTGGTATTTGTTGCTAAGGGGGCGTTCTAGTGTTACGTAATGCAATCTGGGGGAGAGGAGGTCTTGAAAAACGTTACAATGCGTTACAGTGGCGGAAGAGCGGTTCGATTTCAAGTTTTTAAGCAGAAGTACTTTGTAGTTGGTGTTGTTATTTGTAACTTTATACCGTAATGTCATCAAAGAGAGAGTTTGGCATCTTTGGCATTCCCCCCCCCCCCCATGTCTTTGCCATGATCACAAATTATTGTGTTCCTACTAAATTTTTTCTAAATCGGTTCAACGATTCTTGAAATAACACCATTTTATAAAATAACTAGCGGCCGCCCGCGACTTCGTACGCGTGGACCCCGTTTTACCCTTAGGGGTGAAGTTTCGAGTTTTTTAGGGTTTACCCGGAAATTATTCAAACTTTTCTCGCTGTAAAAACCATCCTTGGACTTCAACAAACATTTAAAAAAAAGAATTGGTAAAATTGGTCCAGGCGTTGTTGAGTTATGCGCTTACCAACACATTTTGCGATTCATTTTTATATTATAGATTGGTCACATCATCATAACGTGATCAATTTTACGATTTGGCCACGATATAAATGAATATTAGTGTTAAATTTGACTTATTACTTATTAAGCAATAAACTTAAATGAGAAAAATTCAATAAAAATAAAGAAAAGATACCAATTGAAATAATTATAAAATTATTTGTTTTCACCCACGGGTGGAATAAACGGGTTTTTATTGGGTTTTTACCCTCATGTGGGTTTTTACCCGGGTGGAAACCCATCTCTAAATACAACAACACTTAATATAACTGTCGCAGTCAGATTGTATAATCCGCCGTTTTACATTACAGCTAGGCATTTTGCATTACAGCTCTGTTTTGTAATACGACGGATTAACGTTTAGCCGGATTGAATACGGCTGAATGAAAATCCGCCGGAATGTATTCGGCGCCAAACGTTCTTCAATACGGCTAGCCGTAATGTAAAACAGCGTGTCATTACCCGCCGCTTTGACGGTTTTTAGTTCCTATTTTCAATACCGTGGCGCTGCCGGACAAAGTGGCTATGGATTCTGGTGTTCGGCGGAATCCTACACAATATTATTAGTGTAAAAATATGAAATCATGGCTGTGGCCGGTGAAGACAATTTTATCTTAAAGAAAAATAACCCAGAAAAAATAACTAAAACTTTATTGTTTTGAGTTACTTGTTCCCTTTGATCATTTTTAATGTCTAAAAAAGACTAAAGCCAAATATCTAATTAATTCTTAAAATTTTTAGAAAAGTCTAATTGTTTTGAGTTACTTTTTTTAGATGGCTATCCCTTGTGATTTATAAATAAGTAAAAAAAAATACTGAAGCCAAATATATTATTTAGTATACAGTGACGAAGGTAATAATTCTTAAAATCTGTCTTATTAAAATTTATTTTCATTAAACATTGTTTTATTTTGTAAGTATGGTCACCCTACAATCTATAGTAGTACGATGCGGCTAAACGTGGGCTGCCGTATTGAAGAACGTATCGCAATGACAATCCGCCTAAACGTTGAACCGCCGTATTACAAAACAGAGCTGTAATGTAAAATGCCTAGTGGTAATGTAAAACGGCGGATTATACAATCCGACTGCGACATAACCATTGGCGCCAATATCGAGGGACTCAGGGTCGTGTAAGTTAGGTTCGGTTTGGTGAATATTATTGACATTGAGATAGTCCGAGAGGGGACTATAATACATAACTAACCTACCCTACGTCACTTGATACTTGATACTAAGATAGCTCCATGGCAGACGTTCAGAAAAATTGTGATAAGCTTGGAACAATTATTAATTAATAAACTCCGATTTGTTGAGTTAAAAAAAATGGCTATTTCCAGTGGAAAAAAAGCGGGTCAATTTACGTCATTTTGATACCGATGGCAGACTATTAAAATATTTGTACAACGCCTATACCTTGAAATAGGTACACACGACAGCACATCAAGCTACCCATTTTTGTTGCATACTCGCCCCTATTACAACTGCACAAGACGCCCATGACTATTAACAATGTCGTATGTGAAAAACAGCAACTTTACAGGAGAGCGTTTCAAAGTTTAAATTGCTCATATTTTTGTACTTATTTTAGGCAGGGTTATGAAAGTTTAGAGTATTACTATGAAAGTTATTTATGTTTAGGACAATATTATGAGTACCCGGTATTTAATATGTAAATATGAGAAAAGTCACTTGTGACCTTTTTAACGGAGTTATATTAGTGCTGATTTGTCATATCTACCAGAACCGACATTGTTGCTTGAACGAAATTAGTGATTACTTGTCGGAAATGCCACTTACGTCCTTGTTTCATTATTTATTTATGATTATACGTATGTCGTATGTAAAAATTACTGAAAAAAACACAAAAAATCTATAGAAATTATATACAGGATGTCCCAAAAAGTAGTGTCAAGCCGAAGCCCAGAGGTAGAGCATCACTAAGGCTACCCAAATCACCGTGACTTTTGATAGTTCTCGAGTTATGATTTTTTTTTACAACATACAGGATTTTAGTTTTCATTCGTGTTATGGATGTAAATACTTCTGAATTAGCTAGGCCTAGTATTCATCTAATAATAATTAAAATATCAGCCATGTAACTTGACTATTTGAGCCACAGTGACCAAAAAAGTGCCTAAGCACAGAAATTTAAAACAATCATAACTTGAAGACTATAAAAAATCGCGGAACATACATGGGGGTGATTTGGATAGCCCTAGTGATGCTCTACCTCTGGGCTTCGGAGCTATTGAGTTAAGCATTATGTCACGTATAATGTTTCCAAAGATCACACTCCCACAAGATTTATGATGGGCAGACTGCTCATGACTGACTTCATCAGAAGAACACTCACAAAAAGGAGACGGAACTAGTTTGAATTCGTGAAACTTAAGTTTAAAGTTGCCTTGCCCCTTAAGGAACTGCGACAAGCAATGGTCGATATCTAGTCATCGCCTAGATATACGTTCGCGTACATTCGGGAAGAATTTATATAATTGACGCCCTTTGACTGACGTATCCCATCTTTTTTGCCATTCAGTAACTAATTCCTCTTCAACGACTTGTCGGGAATCAAATAATCAGCTTATTTTAGAACGATCGCGTTATTGAAGAACTTGGAGGTTATATTTTCCCGTGATGCGAAGTACATAGACGCACGCTTTTGTACCTTTAAGTCGACCGGCAGTACACCAGCCAGGACTAGCAAGGCTTCCGTGCTCACAGTTCTGTAAGCTTTGCAAAGAAAAATCAGTGCAAGGCGTTAACTTTGGAGTAATTTCCGTCGAGCGGCTCCTATAGTAGTTCTGTTGGCCCAAACTGGTGCACCATAGCAAATGGAGCTTAGACACGTAGCCACGTATATTATTCGGAGCATTTCAAATGATAGACCCCACGTCGAGGTTGATATGTGACGTAGAGCATAAAAGTTTCTTTGGTGGTGGAAGTGGTGATGGTACCGATGCTTTAACGGCGCTAGTAGCATTAGCTTCCTTTACTGATAATATCTCGTCATCTTCATTGAACATCATTAAGTAATTCCTGCATTTGAATCAATTCCTCTTGAAAACTCGCCGGTATAGGAGACTCTTGACGAACTAAAAATAACTATAAAAACTATAAGTTATTTAAATTATGTAAGGTCCGAATTAAAAAAGTATAGTTTATAAATAAAAGAAGGCATAAAAAGATATTTGCAAATTCATGCGTGCGAACAAAAATTATTTATAACAAACATGCTTATTTTATTTTATAGTCAGTCAGACAGTCAGTCAATCATCGTCATACAAGATACTAGCGACATTTTAGTATTTTACAAAACAACTAACAATGGCTAACAAGTTACTACCGAAAGTTTAACCCATTTGTAGAACGTTATAATAATGTCGGATGTGGAGATACCGACATTTAAATTATTTAAGAAACATTCAATAACGTCGAATATGGTACTTCTGACATTTATCCCATTCAAAGAAAAGCTTAACAACGTCGTATGTGGTACTACTGACATAAAGTGTTACAAAAATAAGATTAACAATGTCGGATATGGTACATCCTACAGTTTTAAGTTATGTGTTAAGAAATGCTAATGCAAGTTGGTATTACATTCAAAATTATTTATATTTAATATAACTGCCGTAAAAAACAAATGACAACACGACGTCCGTTCATCCCGCTAACATAGCCAGAAGTGGGAGATCGCACGCGCTCACCCGCCTCCGCGCACCGCTAAATACGTCGGGAACAACTATCCGGCATTGTTAACGGACTATCTAGGCAATATCCGACATTTTTAATGTAGTTATCTCAAAAACTATGCATAAAATCATAATTTTTGTTTCACCTGATGATAGCTTGTATTATTTACGCACAAATTATGAAATAAAATGAAAATGGCAATTTTGCAGTTCCGACTATGTTAATAGTCATGGGCGAAGAACCCGCAGCGGTTACGTTGACGTGCCGTCGTCCGTACATACCTATAGGTTACCTTGCGGGTGTTATTGTCGCCAATCCTGACCCACTTATAGTATAGTTAGTGTCCAAACATTGAGTCAGCGTATTCGGCACGCGTCGCGTCCGCGTTACGTCGCGATGACGCGCGTTACGTAAGCAGCGCCGGAGTCGATGATGCGGGCAGCCGCGGCGTTTGTGCAAACCACTAGTTGTTATTCGTAACAATCGTGACCAATTTCTTTTTTTAACATATTTAACGATCCAATTACCTACTTAATAACATTTGTGCTATATTAACCCTCCCTATCATCTATCTACCTTTCAAAAATGTCGAGTCAAAGTTTAATAAAATTGCGATAAAAAACGATGCATGTAAATATGGGTAAACTTTTTAACTTTAGTTTACTGAAACGACTTTGACACAGCTTTGGTAGCCTAGAATTTCGATATAATAGATCAATCAAAAATTTAAAACGTTACTGATTCTGATTAATTAATTTGTTTTGCGTTTTTGTACTACTCGCAACATACTATCAGCAGTACCTATTAAAACTACATACATACATTTAACGTAGATAAAAGTTGCGCGCGCACAGACTCAGAGAAAGCGCAAACAAGGATCTTTCCATCCGTTCGACGACACCAGTAAAAATAAACTCGCGGGTATCTCCACGAGAATACCAGTTTTGTTTCACGCAACTCTACTTCGGGGAAATTATTTAATTTCATTTCATTTCACAATTTTGTCACTGGAACCAAACGGAATACCAACCTACCAGCTTACAGGGAAAATGAAACAATCAAGCGGTTTCTACATTAGGTACTACGAAAAGAAATCATATCAATACCAGTGCCTATTTGTGAAAAATGGGTTATATTGATAAAATAAGTAATAAGTAACTACTATTTGCCTGTTAAGTTCTGAAATGAATTTGTACCCTATAGTGAAACAGAATAAGTCATAATAGATAGATAAAGGTACCTACTGTAGGTTTAAATAGCTATTGATATTTCACTCTCCAGTTTTTCTTTTGGTAAGGAGATGGTAGGGCTAGCTGTAAGGAATAGGTCAACGACACAAATCGCCCTGAGTATGAAAGGATAAAATAAACCTAGAAGTTACAGGTATATATCCTGGAACGTAGGTACGGCCTTAACCAGTTCTGGATTACAAACGCAATAGATATAAAATCCATTTATAACTGCGGGTTTCATTGATCATAGCTTATCTGACTACCTACCTTCTAAAAAACTTTATTAAATAACGATTTCATCAAATAATTATGTAAAATAAAGTAGGCACGTTGAATTATTTCAATTAAATCCATTGCTCGTAACCACCAAATCGTCAATAAGTATTTATTAATTTAATAATTCTAAGACTTTTTTTACGATATATTTTTACGATTATAAAATACAAAAACACTTACCTTCTACTGTTCCACGGTTCAAAATAAACGCGTAATCACCTCACTTCACTGGTCACCGGACGTTCTCACCGCGCGACTCTTGCGCACCGTCTGCCGGACGCTGAATGAGACGCCGAAGCACGCCGCGATGCCCGTCCTATACGGTGCTCGGAGGTGGCCCGGTGGTGCTGAATTAAGTAAATGCACGTTACATTCATAATGACGGAATTCACTCGTATTTTACCCCTACAACTGTGAAAGCAAGTTTATTGCGATTACTTTTTCACGAGAACTCATCGTAAGTTTATCGTAGTCGCCGGTATACAAATGAGAGCGAAAAAAATAACCCAACTACCTCCACGCCTCCACCTTCACAATGACGGTTTATACTTATTCATTTTTACCGACATTAATTCGTTTTAAATTTGAACGATTAAGTAACTGAGGTATTTTGAAATGTAGGTACTTATAGAAGAATAGAAAATCTTTATGAAGATAGGTAAGGCAGGTAAGGCAACAAAAGAGCGAACATTATGAAAGTAGCGATTTTGCTGACAACGAAATTCGCAACTTTCACACATTTAGTTTTATTTCGATTTTATGAACATGCATTAAACTTGATGTGTAGCAAATGTGGTAATGATGGACTTGTTTGGAAAAAAACAGAGCGGAAGCTTTCATATTCTGCACAATCTGATTCATAAAGTTGATCTGCAGACATGACACGCATAATAGCTGACTCACATATAATATTTTACCAAATTTTAACAGAATTCTAGGTAACATTATTTTTTGTTGGAAAAGGAATTGAATTTCCAATCTATACTATCTATACTAAACTGTTATACTCATCTTTACTAATATTATAAATGCGAAAGTAACTCTGTCTGTCTGTCTCGCTTTCACGCCTAAATCACTGAACCGATTTTGATGAAATTTAACATAGACATAGTTTGAGTCCCGGGGAAGGAAATAGGATAGTTTTTATTCCGATTATTGAAACAGGGACGCACGTGATAATTTTTTCTGTGACAGACTAAATTCCACGCGGGCAAGCCGCGGGCGGAAAGCTAGTATGTATGTAATAAATTCCTAAATATAAAAAGGCAATTACTTATTTAAATGTGCTACACTGACACCGTTGTAAAAAGATTTTCATTACAATTAGTTGCAAATTAAATACATTGATAGTATTTCTTTGTTAAGGTAATCAAAATATCGGAAACAGGAAACAAACTTTCTAGGTGATCTATAGAAATTGTTGTTTTTTCGTTCAAGCAACAACAGGTATAAATAAAATTGGATTGATCTCTATTGCAATGGAACAGAAAGAACGTTGTTGATCAACCCGCGCTGCTGACTGCGTGTATGCGCGTGAGTGGATTATGCAACCACTTTCTTCACAAGGCCGCGAGGTCGTAGACTCTTCCGGAGTAAAAACAAGACGGTTTTTACATTGCAAGTCAATAAAGATATTTTCAATGCAAGGTCATATTCAATTCAAATTCAAACTCTATTATGACGTGTAGATAAAAATCGCCTGGAAACCGAATGCCTAAGGCTTTTAACGAACATACTCGTATATAAATATAGCTAACACATGCAACAACAAAACAAGTTCACGTCTATAAATGAAGACGTAAAAAAATACTGTCGATTGGCTGATAATTTTCGAGCTACAAATAACCAAAAGTGTACTTACCATCAACCATCTGAGAAATTACACTGCATCTCGTTTTCATCTTCTTAGGTGACTAGCTTTTCTTTTCTTCGACTATAAAAAGGGCAAGTGGAATTCGTGATTCAACTGGATTTAATCAAACATTATTATTCCGGTCCACCTATTCACAATACACTATGGCCGACGCCCTTGTCAAGCTATTCGTAACCATTTTTTTTTTACTTCCTACCCTCCGGTGTCAGACTTTTTTTTTATCACAGAGTAAGTAATTAAAATCTCTTATACAACTAAAATTGGTTGGCAATTGCCGCCAAAAAAGATATACTAAATGATGAAAAATTATGGAGATTTTTGACAATTGCTGCAAAAAAATTGTGAATGATGAAAAATTACCTAGATTTTTCTGCGTTAAATATTAACTGCCTAGGGTTTCTATGATGCCGTAAATTACCATGAATAAAATAAGTAACTAAATGATGGCATAGAATATTCAAAGATCGGGTTAGTGCAATTCAATATCCTAAAAGTCAAGGAAATAAAGCCAACATGTCGCATGACGAGCGCAGCGTTTGGTGGTTGCGCAAGCGCCGCTTTCGTTACAAGGTCGAGGCTTCGGCGGCATTGCACAACTTCGGTTATACCAGACGCAGACATTGCTTTTTTCATTGGCTACTACCGCGACTACCCAGGCTAGTGTGACGCTCACGCCTCTCTCGAGGATCGTATTTTCAATTGGAAAAAACTACATAACCACTGAAGTGTAAATGACCTAATTGCTCAAATGTGTTAAAGATTTGCTTTCATAAATACCTGTACTTACTGCGTTATATGAACAGCGACCGCGGTTATGTCCGCTTTGGGAATGACTCGAGCACCTATTTCTTTAACGTGGGGGAAATAAATAAAATGAAAAAATATAGCATCAACAAAAATATAATAACAGTTCTTACATTTCTATGATAACTAATAATATAAATACGTAAGATACGTAGTACCACTAAAAATAAGTACATGTAAGATAAATATGATAAATAAATAAATTATATTACAGTTTCTACTTTATTTACGAACGAACTTTAGTTGATTAATTAAGTATCAGAGTAGGCGCACACCGTTGATTTTTAGTTGGCCGATAGTTGTGCCCGATTTTAATTTGTATGAAGAATCGGCCAAATCGAATCGGCGTAGTGTGCGCACTCCCATACATGCCCATACTGATCAACTGCCCAACTAAACTATCGGCCGACGAAAAATCAACGGTGTGCGCCTACTCTCAGAGCAACAACATAACTTAAAATTGCTTTTAGAATAATGCTTCTGAAAAATCATTTTTTATATGGAGATATAGGTATCGGGGAGAGCTCGAACTTCTGCCTTTAATAGAAACAGTAAATTAATGACATGAATATATTACTACATACATCTTACAAGTATTACTAACTAAAGGTACTAATAAAACATGCGCTATTACCACTAAAGTAGTAATCTAACAGTAATGTAAACATATTATCAGAATCATTAACAAGATATTGTACAAGACAGATATGGTTTACTAAATAAAACCTTTAAACGACTACAATACAAATTCTTTACTATTAACAACAACCATTCTGCCTGAATCAAAATACCTTGCGATACTAATGAATGTACAAAATTGAATTATTTACAATGAATAGGTCATACCCACTTAATTCATTTTTAAATGACATTGTAAAAGTACAAAAAGGTTTACTGCATTCGATTCGATGCTTAGGAACCTATTATACCTAATATGTGTACATTACAGAACACACTTTATTTTTTCGTCTATGTTGGGGCACCTTTACACAGGGGAAGACAAAGCCAAACCCTTACGAACCTTTGGATTAAACATTCTAAAACATTAGTAAGTAAGACATAAACGAACGCTCTACCACCACAATGGACTGAATGGACATCTGAAAATATAACAGTAGTAAGTAATAATTAATTTTAATAAACTAAATAATGCCCAAGACTAACACCCATTTCTTAGTAACTTCATATTTTTCTTTTCTTTAAAAATGGTAACAAATAATCTAAACTACTCTTACTATTATCTACCACAACAGTAAGTTCTACAAATATCTAAAAAAGAACCAGGCACCACCAAACCCGTAACGTTATGATGAATAGCAAAAATATCACAGTATAATTGATTTCACTATTATCATTCTGAATCACTCAATCAATGAATTGAAGACTACGTACTAAGTTTTACGTAAACAAAACTTATTTCAGTTGATCAATGTATTGATTTGTTTGAGATCGGAAGTTAAAAGACCGGTAACATGCTTAGGAACTTTTACTAATAGGTACTTACTTTTTACTTACATTTGTAATAACTTTACAGCGATGACAAACCGATGATGACTTTACAGCAATGACGTCTAACGATTTCTGCTGTAACAAAGATTTGGCAAGTGCGGAGTCTTAAATATCGATGATATCATTCCTAAGGAGGGTTCATCGTTATTTTGTTAAGATCACAAGGGTTTATACATTGGAACAAATAACAACGGACTAACGCGTTGAGTCCTCAACTTTCTAGGGTCAATGCTAGCAAAAGAAGAAGGCCCCTCACTTCTCCACCCATCCATTGAGCTATAAGACAGTCTAGGGGCAGACGGATGCATTACATACCTTTGGCTTTCGTGAGGTTGAGTAATAAATACTGGACCCTCAATAGGAGTTCTTGTTCTAGGACGATTAGACCCAGGATGAGGATGCCTCATGCCTTTGTGAACACGAGTGAAGACTTGAGGCTGTCTTGTTTTAGGATTGATAGGAATTGGAATGTATTCCACAGGAGACGGAGGCCGTTTTGGCGGCGTAACTTTTTTCGTAGGAAAATTACCTTTGGTTTTTGGTAAAAACTCAGGATTGACCATTGGGTTATCTAGATTGATTGGAATATACTTTACCGGAGACACTGCGTGTTGAGTGGGTTTCATAGGAATTTTTGGTGGAGTGTTTTTCTTCCTTTGTTTATTTTGCTTTGAAACTTGTGAAATTTTCTTCACTGGTACTGCAACATATTCGGTTGGAAGTTGCCGCTCAGTCAAATGGACGTTACTAACTGGCATCGTCATCATGTTGCTGAATGACATGGTCATTGGAGGAAGGGGACTTTGTTCATCTGAAAATTCTGATGGAGCCTTGATGATCGGTGCATCGTACTGTGTTATTAGTTTATCACCCTGACCCGATGAATAATTAGGATTGTTTTCTAAACCAACAGATCTCTTCGATTCCGTTTTATTTTCCTTGCGATAGTTTTGCTGGGAAATATGTGGGTAATAGGGACTTTTTGAAAGTTCTTGACTGTAATAATTCTCGTCATTATTTATGGGACTGGTAGTATCTGGCAACGCATATTGTCTATAAATTGCTGTATGTTTATCAAGGATGCTAGAAAATGAGATTTTAGCCTGTTCTTCAGACGTTGTGAAATTTAGGTTTCGTCGATCATTATCTTTTTGCGTGCGGTGGGGCGTTCGCTCCGAGTGATGGTAAAGGAGGTTCGATAGACCGTCAGCGTCGGCGGTGGAGCCTGGTAGATTCTCTTCTCTAGACAGTTTCGGGTATAGCGGGTGACTTTGAGATTCGGTTTGGTTCCGTTCATCCCGAGCGCTCACCGCTTCACTGATATTCTTTATTGCACGATCGAAAACTTTAGGTAGGTGGTGTCGGTCTTTATAATTTAGCGCTTCGTTAAAATTTTGTAGGAGTAGAGCGTTAGTATTCAGTAGTTCGGAATTAGTGGAATCCGGTAATGTACAGTCTGTATTCGGTTCAGCCGGAGAAGCGTCTCGCTGGTCGGAGTCGGGTCCGGCGTCGGGCGCTAGAAGTACACGGTGAGGTTCATGTGGTCGGCCGCCGCGGGGTTGGTGGCGTCGTGGAGCTCCTCCTCCCCGCTGCCCTGCAAACGTACACTTAATATACTTCGCTGGTTAAATTCTCGGTCGAAGGTGTCTCTCGGGAAACCGGGAGCTTCATTGAGCTTTTTTTCGAAACAACTCAAATATACAGTTTGAATATTTTTTGCACGTGTCGGTTTTAAGCCCTATGGTCTAGCGGTAAGGACTATGCAGCAGAGCTGGAGATGCCACCGCACCTACCTTGTGTGCGGGCGGCGCGGGCTCGTCCCAGCTGAGCTTCTTGACGCGCGCGGGGATGGTGTGCGCCGGCCACGCCACGCCCGAGCGGCCGGCGCCGCGCGCGCGCAGGTGGTCGCTCATGAGCGCCGCGTCGCCGTCGCCGCCCGCGTCCGCGCCGTCCGCGCCCGGCGGCAGCGGCGCCACCTTGCTCTTGTTGGGGAAGCGCTGCGACTGCCGGCCCGGGTCTGCGGAACGTGCAGACAGTTGTGAGCCTTTAGACCATCATACCTCAAAATAATTGTAAAAGCAAAACTGGTCAGCTGTTCGAAGCTCAAAAGTGTATGCGTTAATCTTACTAGCAGCATTGTTTCCGTTATGATCAGCCCTCAGATCCAGACTGCTCGTGGAGTTGGCTAATATCGTGCTGGCTCCGGCACTGACACTGAGCAGCGAGCCGGAGCCCCCGCCGGCGAGCAGCGTGGGCCCGGCGGGTCCCGCGAGCCCCGCGCCGGCGCTGCTGGGCGGCGCGGCGGGCCCGGCGCTGGGCGGCCGGGACTTCTCGTGGGAGACGTATCCAGCGTTTTTGCTGTGGACCGTCTCGCTCGAAGATTTTCTTCGCTTGCTGGAAGTGATACGACCGGTAGTGAGTTGGTGTGTTCCATCGACGAATGAAACACATTACATAAAGAAATTAACGAGATATCAAAGAAGAATTTGACTATTGAATGAAGATCATACGGCAACCTGATATGACTGATAACGAGCAACAAAAAGTTTGTAGTAATCTTTCATCAAGCCCGAATGTCTTGTATGAATTGAAAGGAATCGAGTCCAGGATGTAGCGTGTGAAGCGCAACCCGGTCAAGTTACACAGGTGTTAACTCGATTCCTTTCAATTCATACAAGACATTCGGGCTTGACGAAAGTACTACAATTTTTTTGTTGCTCTTCATTACTCAGTCATATCAGGTTCCAGTTTCATTAGCCGTGACGTCACATTCTAGTACGAACGGGCCTCAGATGGGCTAACGCGGGGAGGTGTCCGGGCAAGCGGGATGAGAGCGGCAATCCACTGAGGTGCGCAGGTAGCTCGATTGGGACACATGGCTCGTGGCGCCCTCTTTGTCAATGTTTTGTTTAATGTTATTTTTTTTTTATTTATAATGTTGGTTGGAGAGGCGCCCGCTGAAAACCAGCGTCGGGGCACGCGTGCATGCACGCGTGGCTCGATCAATGCTGAGCGGGCGCCTTAAATATGCGTGTATAGTTTTAAGTCCCACTGTTTTGTTTTTTCTTTTTTTCTTTTTGTGTCAAATAAAGTTTTTGTTATCCTTATTCTTACATACAGGGACTGGGCGACTCACGTGCGGTAGATGTATGCGAGCAGGGCGCAGACGAGCAGAGCGAGCAACGCAAGCGCGGCGGCGAACAGCGCCAGCAGCGAGTCAAAATTTTCATATCGTCAGCGAAGCAAAGAAGACGAGATGAGTGGAGGCACGAGTTTATGTCATTTACGAAGATTAAAAATAATAAAGGGCCCAGTAGTGACCCTTGGGGACTACGAGACTCACGTGCGGTAGATGTAGGCCAGCAGAGCGCAGACGAGCAGCGCGAGCAACGCAAGCGCGGCGGCGAACAGCGCCAGCAGCGAGCCGCCGCGCGCGCCCGCCACCGCGCGCCCGCCCACGTGACCAGCGCCGGCCCTACGAGACTCACGTGCGGTAGATGTAGGCCAGCAGGGCGCAGACGAGCAGCGCGAGCAGCGCCAGCGCGGCGGCGAACAGCGCCAGCAGCGAGCCGCCGCGCGCGCCCGCCACCGCGCGCCCGCCCACGTGACCAGCGCCGGCCCTACGAGACTCACGTGCGGTAGATGTAGGCCAGCAGGGCGCAGACGAGCAGCGCGAGCAGCGCCAGCGCGGCGGCGAACAGCGCCAGCAGCGAGCCGCCGCGCGCGCCCGCCACCGCGCGCCCGCCCACGTGACCAGCGCCGGCCCTACGAGACTCACGTGCGGTAGATGTAGGCCAGCAGGGCGCAGACGAGCAGCGCGAGCAGCGCCAGCGCGGCGGCGAACAGCGCCAGCAGCGAGCCGCCGCGCGCGCCCGCCACCGCGCGCCCGCCCACGTGACCAGCGCCGGCCCTACGAGACTCACGTGCGGTAGATGTAGGCCAGCAGGGCGCAGACGAGCAGCGCGAGCAGCGCCAGCGCGGCGGCGAACAGCGCCAGCAGCGAGCCGCCGCGCGCGCCCGCCACCGCGCGCCCGCCCACGTGACCAGCGCCGGCCCTACGAGACTCACGTGCGGTAGATGTAGGCCAGCAGGGCGCAGACGAGCAGCGCGAGCAGCGCCAGCGCGGCGGCGAACAGCGCCAGCAGCGAGCCGCCGCGCGCGCCCGCCACCGCGCGCCCGCCCACGTGCACCACCACCGGCACCGACGTCTGTGTGCCAACATGTATTTTCTTAAGGTGTGTTCAACATTGTTCAGCTGCTCGCGAAGCTGCTCACGTGCTCGCAAGCAGCCCCGTTACCAGTCTCGCGATGTCGATTCGAGTTTATAAAATATTTTTCCAAACTACGTCACGGTCAGCAATGAATGAACGATCATTCTGAACATAATAACTATATTTAGTGGCTTTTATCACAAGCTTCTCTATGCTTCACAAGATACGTTAGGAGTTTCGGCTATAGTGTAAGACGTTAAGCCCAGTTAAGCTTTGGGGCAGTAAACATTTTAATAGCAAGATCGGTACTTACTAGGGTACTCGACCGTCATTCATGGTGTAATATAACTTGAACCATTTCTACGACTGAGATTAAACTTGTGTTCTGCAATGAAACGTAACGAGCCTTTACAGGCTTGCTTTACTATTCGCTGGGTGCGAAGTACTAGGTGGGGGGGACATAATCTATCGCAGCGCTCATGGTGGTCAAAAGTAGAAATAATGTTAGCTCTGTCATCAGATGTATCTGTCAATGGCAAAGCGATTCTACATAATACATTTTAATATCATTAATTAATCGCATGAAAAGGGTCCTACTGGGAACTTAAATAAAAGAGTGGACTGTATTTCGATAGGGCTGTTTTAATAGCCGTTTACAATTTGGAAATAACTAAACTATACAACGTGGTAGTACAAAAATGAGTCACAGTAGTTGTTGTGCACAGATGTTTGCCTTATGATGAGAGCGTGAATTATTGAACTCTGCCCTTGTTTTGTTCTTAATTCTTCTACATCTCGGACTTGTCCAGCCAATACCAACAACTTTCCTTTAAATACGGTTTGTGGTTGGAATTTGATATTGTAACTCTCACAAACCCGGTCTTCAAAACGATACTCATTTCGATCTGAAAACGATATTTAATTTATTACTAGCGATACAGAAACATTTAAATATATTTACTGTTATATAATGAAACCGTTAAAGTAGCTTTTTCTTTTTGTTTTACTGTAAAACTACAACTATAAATGAAGTAAACAAACCCTGACACAATCAGTAAATCCTAAGATATTCCAGTAAAACCTAAGATCTACCAATGTCTAATGGTAAATGTCCCAAAAGGTTTGCGATTCGAACTCTTACCACCATTTCGTTGGTAAATCTTAGGATTTACATTAATGGCACGGTAAACGTTGAAAAACAAAACATGTCATAACGTGCTCAGCGCATCTCATCATCATCATCATCATCAGAAATTACTTCAATTGGAAAAAAACGAATCTATCTTAATATTGAAGTTGCCCTCTTTGTATTTCTAGTCGCTCACTTAGTAATCGCACGGACAGAATTTTACTATCTAAAATGGATTAAACATAACCCACTTTTTGTAAGCTCGTTCTGCATATTTTGATTATATTAACCTTTAAAGTCCCAGACGGCATACATTAATGCCATAACAATTGATTATCTATTGTGTCTAGATTCGCGGGCCTTGAAGGATTAATCAATATTCGTCGTTAGTTAAGTTAATTTTTCGCTTACTCAAATTCATACCGTTCAAGTTATTAAAACAGTAAGTATGCCATCATCAGTCGCTAAGTTATTTTTTAGTCGATCGTGTTGTAATTTCCCATTAAGAATTACTCATTGTTTTATTCCTAAAACCAACATATACCAGCTGACAGAGGTAAAACCTAGCATATACTGAATTCGAATGGTAAAAGCTCGAAAAAATCGTCGTATTTTCAGAAATACTTACATTTACCAACTCATGTCGGTAAATCCTAAGACTTACACTTAAATCTTAAGATTAACCGTAGTTCGAGCTTTTACAGTAACATATGAATGAAATAGGTCTTAGCAAAAAAGGATTTTTGCTTCACCAGGTCTCGACTAACGGATACTTCTGCAACTGTCAGAGATTATAACATGTAAACTTGTAAATTTAGTGTCTGCCTAGTGAGTGAGTGTGCGAGCGCGACAGCAATATAATTACGCGCGAGCGATAAGGATGGGTAGCTTGGGGTCATTGGACAAAATTCTACGTGCAGCGCGGACCAGACTATAGTACCCTGCTACGTCAGCACGCACCTGGCGCGGCGGCGAGCCGGAGTCGACGGCGGTGGCCACGACGTGCAGCGCGGACGCGTTCAGCGCCCGCAGCGCCGCGCGCGCCACGAACACCTCGCCCAGCTCGTTCACCCGCAGCATGCTGCAACCACCGACACACACCACCGACCGTTGTAGCAGAGTAAATACAAAATGAGTCAAAGTCAAAGTCAAAATTTCTTTATTTGTTTAGACTAATAAATAGTTCTTACAAATCGTCATTTTGCTCTTAAGGAGCCTCTACATGTCTCATAATCTTTTTACCCTACCAGCGCTTCGAGACCAACATTTGGCAAGTGCTGAGAAGAAGCGCCGCAACAAACTCAGTCACCACTGTCTGCCGGTTAATATAGTAGGTCATCTTCATAGAAACGCACGGACGCGGTTTGTATGTGAGCGCGCCAAAACGTAGGCGGCGCGCACGCACACACTGACAAAATTTAGCGGGGAGCCAGTCGTGGTTGCGCCGAATTTTGTCAGTGTGTGCGTGCGCGCCGCATACGTATATTGGCGCGCTCACATACAAACCGCGCTCGGTGCGTTTCTATGAAGATGACCTACTCATTTGTATTTACTCTGGTTGTAGTGTTGTTTATTTCTTTCATTTTTAAGTTGATTCCTAATTCTTTAAAATAGAGGTGAAGGGGAGTGATTGGCTGCACTTCTAGAGACACAAAGAACATCTGTATGGACAGTAATTTTAGAGTAGGTAAGACGGAAAGAAGTGATTGTAAGCAGCAGTACTGTAGAAGATTTGGGATAGGAATGGGATGGGATACCTTCGATATATAGCAGACTCCGCAGGACGGTCCAAGCTTGGTTCTTCTTTCACTTTCACAAACACTTGAATTTTATTGAGTTGAGTTAGCGCGCGATTTGGATTTATTTGAATTGGTTTATTTTGAATACCGCCCGTATTACCGCCCAGATAGGCGAAGCGGCGCGTTGCAATGCGAGAGCGAGACTAAAGGTGGAAGGGAGAGGAAAGGGAAATGACTGTCAGAGTGAGAAATGTGTGAGAGCTATAAAAACTCTAAAAAGAATGGACAGCTGCCTACCACATTTTATAGAACTAAAAATATTGACAGTACCATCCCTCTACATTTTTGAAACTGCAATGTTTGTTAAGAGAAATCCACACTTGTTTCCCACAATATCCTTTGGGCAATTGAAAAAGAGTAGACGTCATGGTCACATTTTAAGTGCACCTGTCTCAAAAACTGCTTTAAAACAAAAAAGCTTCTTTAGTATGGCTCCAAAAATTTACAATAAATTACCACAGACACTAAAAGACACAAATATTCAGATATTTCGCAAGCAGCTGCTATCCTTATTATTAAGCAAAGCCTACTATACATTGACAGAGTTTTTAACTGACAAATTGTAAGATTCTTGACCTTTTTTTTTATGTTTAAATGTTTATGAAATTGTTACTGATTGGACATTACTAACTTACTTTTTATTTTATTTAATTTCTACTAACCTAATACGACTCAATGATGTTATGTAAATTTGTACGCCGACCTTGGGCCAAACATAGTGATACCGACTTAATTTTTAACACCTGTAATATGTTATTTACCTATGTTCCACAAATAAACGAATTTGATTTGATTTGATTTGATTTGATTTGAGTGATAGAGAATAGTGTGACATGAGTTTGAATTGTATGAGGTTTTAATGTTGGCACGTACAAGTACAAAGCAACGTGACGTATTGAAAGCTCAATAGCTGAAACAAAACACTATTTTACACTGAGTGCGTTGAAGTTTCAACAAAAGACGATGCAGCACAGCTCCAAGACTAGATTCTTAAAGATGCCTCACCTGGCGTCGGGCCCCCGGAGCGACAGCGAGACGGTGTCGGGCTTGTCGCCGTCGAACACGTCGAGGCGGCCGACGGGCAGCAGCGCGTCTCCCGTGTCTTAGAGGTGGCTCACCTGGCGTCGGGCCCCCGGAGCGACAGCGAGACGGTGTCGGGCTTGTCGCCGTCGAACACGTCGAGGCGGCCGACGGGCAGCAGCGCGTCTCCTGTGTCGTCAGGGTCGGCCTCCACGCGGAACTCATACTGCGGGTAACGGAAGCGCGGCTCCCACTCGTTCACGTTCAGGACCGTGATGTTGATCGCCGCTGTGTCGTTCTGGAACGTTATACGTGTGTCGTTATGAAACGAAATTTTAGCACGCCTGGACGTTACATAACAGATAGAGAGAAATGGTGGTAGTGGGCGGGGCACATAGCTTGCAGAGCTGATGATCGCTGGGGCAGAAAAGTTCTTGAGTGGCGACCACGAGCCGGAAGACGTAGAGAGGGCGGGCCCCCCCACTAGGTGGACCGACGATCTGGTGAAGGTTGCAGGAGGTGCCTGGGGCGGCGCAGGACTGATCCTTGTGGAAATCCACGGAGGAGGCATTTGTCCAGCAGTGGATGTCATTTGACTGCAACGAACAAACGAAGAGAGGATGACGTCATAAATGTTGAATGTTGGAAGCCACTCACCGAGAGCCCGTCGGTGACCATGACCTGGTAGTGGTAGGCGTCGGCGGCCTCGTAGTCCAGCGCGCGGCGCAGCAGCACCTCGCCCGCGCCGTTGATCGCGAACTTCTCCAGGAAGCCGCGGTCCGACACGTAGAACTGCAGCGGGCTCTGCCGACCACAGTTAACGGGGATCAAACTATAATGGTGCGTCCACACTGGGCGAATGTGCTCGCGCGGCAAGCTGGTCATCCTGCTCACTCTGCTCTTGAGTGAGCAGGATATTGTGTTTGCCGCGCGAGCATATTCACCTAGTCTGGACGCACCAGTACAGGAACAGCTGTGTGCTCCCAACTGTTTCCGTCGCCCCTCATCCTGGGGGCTTGTAGGGTCTACCGTGGAAGCGGGAAATCGCCGGGATGGGCTGTGGTAGAGAGAAGGCTTTGTCCGGAATCCCACAGTTTCCTCCCACTTATGGCGAGTGACGGAGCATCGGGGTCTTTTTAGTGGATATGCCTCATCCTTCTGACTTAGTGAGCCTCATATAACCTACCCTGTCCTCGCAGGGTAGAATGCGATTCAAAGCATTTTTCCCCGTAAAAAAGGCGTCAAATTATCATGATGAATCAATTTGTACTAGCTTACACAAAGTCTGTGGTGAACGAAGAAGTATCCCATTTATCATGATCTTGTAAAATTGAAGCATGTGTCATTTGTGGCCTGATCAGAAGACCACTTGTGGTCATTTACCTTCTATGGCTAAAGCCTGGTCCGGGAGCACGTAGAATTTTGTCCAGTGACCCCAAGCTACCCATCCTTATTGCTCGCGCGTAATTATATTGCTGTCGCGACTGTGCGTCGGGCGCCTGCAGTGAGTGTGCGAGCGCAACAGCAACATAATTAGCTAGCGGTCTTATTGCTTATCTCTTACCTGATGCCTGTGATGCGGCGGGTCAGTGTGTAATGTAGCCAGTACAGTCCCCGGCGGCGCGTCCTCCGGCACGGCGGCGTCGTACTGGCGCCGCGCGAACCGCACCGGTAGCACGCTGGCCTCGGTTGGGAGGCGGCTGATGGCAAGTGTCGCCAGGGCGTAGCGGTCTGCGTTGTCTACTTGGGTTGCCTAGAAGGTTGCAATTGATACATTTGAGAACAGAAGACATTGGAATAGAATAATTCTAACCTCTTTACTACCTTATAATAAAACCCTATGTTTGGATTTTCAAAGAAATCAATGCAGAATAAAACGGCTAGGTTACACATCGATAAGAGATTTGCTATTATGTTTCGGTACCTTCATCATCAGTCATTTATTAGTCTCAACTGCAGGAGAACGACCCTCTCTAATTTACCAGAGGAAAATGTAGGATTTAGCCTACACTCCCCACGCTGGCCAAACGGGTTGGGAATGCCTAACGGGTTCGGTACCTTCACAACAACAGTAACTGGAGACAGCTGCTTTAGCAAATCTTCAGTGACCACGATTCGTCCTGTGTCTCGCTCCACGACTATCATGTGCTTGTAGTCGCCCGTCGTGGAATATTGGAGAGGTGCGTTAATGCCCACGTCTTGGTCTACTGCTGAGATCGGCCCGGGGGAAGTTTCTAGAATGGTGCCCTGGAATTTTAGAGTTTGAAAATGTTAATAATAATTAGCTTTGGTTATACGCTTATTTTATAGGATAGTTTCAGAGATTGAACTTACCGGTTGAGCGTCGTCAGGTATTATGGCGGTGTAGTGCTCGCTTGTGAACTTGGGGTTCTGGTCATCGGCGTCTAACACTTCCACTGTAAGCGTGGTATCATTATGAAGGGGCGGGGTCCCCTGGTCTTGAGCTCGAATGGTCACCGTGAAGTTCCGAAGAGTTTCAAAGTCAAGAGGTTTTTTAACTACTATAACGCCGTCAAGTTCATTGAGGAAACCTAAGTATTCCTGAAAGAGAAGATAGGCAGAGATTATGTAGAGCGTATGAGGTTATATTCATTTTTTTATCAGCAAGATGTTCATTCATAAAATGTAATAAGTATGATGATCTTTTTTTATTATGCTCCAACCAAATCATGGGATCTAGCCGACTGATACCCACTCGTCTAAAAGTTCTGCAGATTATACAGATCTATGAACAACAATGTTATGGTAATTGTACGAGCTATCGTACATTATTACTTCGGTCATTCTCCGGATCTGGATTCTTTTGTTGATTACCCCGACCTTTTTTATTTTTGAATTTAGAGTAAGTTTAGGTAATACATTTCAAAATAGACATTATTACGAGCATATTTTTTATATTGGCCCATCTGTAGCAAGCAGGAATAAAAAGTTATGCGACATCAAAATTTTCATGGTCGGGGTAATCAAAGTTGGGAGTCAGAGTAATCAAAAATAAAACAAAATATTTAATTTTCTATGTTTTTTTTTAAGTTATGGTAAAATAAATGTTATTATAACTAGCCATTTCTTATTTTGATGTATAAACGACAATATTGTAAAGTTTCAACAAACTCTATTTAGTAGTTGTTGCGTAAAAGAGTAAAAAACATTCACATACATTATACAGGGTGTTTGGTGCATCGTGTGCCAAAATGATTTGGCAGATAGAATGGGTCATTTCCTATATTTTCAGCCCCCATAACACGTTCCATGCCAGGCGGCTACTTTTATATTAATTTTTTTAGTAATTTCACCAAAATACCCAAATCACATCATTTAATTTCGATTTAAAAAAAAACTACTAGGCGTAGCCTCAAAGTAAATATTTTGTTTTGACGTGCATTGATGTAGAGTTGCATCAAATTTAAATTTACTGGCAAATATCATCTAGTTTTTTTTTAAATTCAGCTTTGAAGTTTTCCGAAAATTTAAAAATGGACTGAACATTTAAGTTTACATGGGTATAAAAAAATAAATAAAAGAGATAGCGATCTTCGGATTTTATCAAAACTTCTCCAGTCTATCCCCATTCAAACGGTATACTAATCTTATTTAAATAATAACAATAACTTCACAAATTCCTTAAATTAGTGCATTGACTCTACTCGGACTGATTTGCGAAATTTGTGTTTATAGCCCCTTTTTGTGTGAATAGCACGTTATTAAACACCTAACAGGTAAAAATTATTTATCTTATGCAATGTAAAAACCTTTTCCCTATTGTTTTTCAATGTGGATTTCTTGAAATTAAAGACGAAAATAATTATTTTGATCATTTATTAATTATTACAAATTTTGTTCAAAATGACCGCCTCGGCAACGTATACACTCACGACATCTTCTTCTAATTTTGACTGTTGTAAACGATCAAAATAATTATTTTCGTCCCCAAATTCAAGAAATCCACATTGAAAAACGATAGGGAAAAGGTTTTTACATTGCATAAGATAAATAATTTTTACCTGTTAGGTGTTTAACGTGCTATTCACACAAAAAGGGGCTATAAACACAAATTTCGCAAATCAGTCCGAGTAGAGTCAATGCACTAATTTAAGGAATTTGTGAAGTTGTTGCTCTTATTTAAACAAGATTAGTATACCATTTGAATGGGGATAGACTAGAGAAGTTTTGATAAAATCCGAAGATCGCTATCTCTTTTATTTATTTTTTTATAGCCATGTAAACTTAAATGTTCAGTCCATTTTTAACTTTTCGGAATACTTCAAAGCTGAATTAAAAAAAACCTAGATGATATTTGCCAGTAAATTTAGATTTGATGCAACCCTACATCAATGCACGTCAAAACAAAATATTTACTTTGAAGCTACGCCTAGTAGTTTTTTTTAAAATCGAAATTAAATAATGCGATTTGGGTATTTTGGTGAAATTACTAAAAAAAATAATTTAAAAGTAGCCGCCTGGCATGGAACGTGTTATGGGGGCTGAAAATATAGGAAATGACCCATTCTATCCGCCAAATTATTTTGGCACACGATGCGCCAAACACCCTGTATATATAATATTAGTGACTCAATGTCCTAAATGTCTCCTATATGGGACAGAAGGCTTCCACAACAGTACTCCATCGCATTCGGTCTTGAGCTTGGAGTTTGATCTCGCTCCAAGTCTTAACAGTGCGCCGTTATGTTTTTTTGGCGCGACCACGTTTACATTTTCCCTGGGGGTTCCAATCTAGGTTCCCTTCGGAGAGTGTGGCCGATCCAGTTCCACTTGCAGCGTTTATTCTGCTGAACGATCGGTATTTCATGGCAGCGTTCCAAAAGTTCGTCGTTTGAAGATTTTGGAGAATTCGAGGAAGACAGTGGCTGAAGAAGATCTGCAGCTGGTGCGAGATAATCTTAGTGACCCTCCACCTTTCACGCCCATAGCGCAGAACTGGTTTGACGTTGGACCCGAATATTTTGATCTTGCTTGGGTCAATTTCCGTGACTGCCATACGGCTGGAAGTTGTGCGAAGGTAGCTCTGGCCTTGGCAATGCGCGAAGTGATGTCCTCTTCGGTACCTCCAGGCTCTGAAACGATGCTCCCGAGGTAAGTGAAATTGTGGACTCGTTGGACATTCTCTGCACCAACGGTGTACAATTCCTCACTCCAGATTGCATCTCTTGGGTCTTCCGGTACTGATACTCTTGCTTTACCCTTTTTTCGGCACAATAATTAGAAGCCCCTTATGCCAGTCGTCTGGGACTTCCTCTTCCATCCAGATGTTTTCGAAGACAGATATCAGGGCGTTAACGGCGGAGTTTACATCGGCTTACAGCATTTCAGCGGTGATGAGGTCGAGTCCCGGGGTCTTGCCAATTTTGAGGGATAATATGTATTTAGGAGATAGGATTTCATTTTAGTAAAGGGTAATTTTGCTTATTAAACGTTATTTATTTAATCATTAATTAGTAAAATTGCAGTATTATTGATTACTCGGTGACAAAAGTCGGGGTAATCAAGGTCGGGGTAGTCAAAAAATTAAGGTTTATCCTGAGCCCTGCCCAATCTGTAAGTTGAATCCCATATGTTTTAATACACAAAAATGCGGTTACATGGACCATTATTCCTGTACATTCTCAAGAACTTTCCATGTAAAGAAACCTAAAAAATCAGGATAGAGTAATCAATCGTGCACTGAACCAAGGTCGGGGTAATCATATTCTTATCTCGATAACTCCGAAATCCTGCGACGAGTTGCATTACCGATCACCTCGGCACGTAGGCCACTACTAAAGGTTCACGGGGGAGGATAGAGCTCGTTTCTAAATTGCGTAGCTAGGGACGTAGGCGCACATTAGCGACGTGTCGGGGTAATCACGGTTAACGCCCGGACACAACTTCAAATAGTTATTTTACAAAACCTTTTAGTGATATAGTTATATTGTATTTAATTTATCAATGTTTATTTAATCAGTAATCGATTACATAAGCATTGAAAGCGGTAATAATAACGGATTAATTTATACGAGCAAATTTGTTCTGAAATCGGGAGCGCGGACACGTCGTGGTAATCAATTTTTGACGACTTAAGATTTTTTTTTAATTACTTAATTTACTATTATTAACTATCTCTGTGGTTTAACAACAAGAACCAAAGTTATACTATTAGATAAAAATATTTGTTACTAAAATATTACGATATTCGGGTACTTTTTGGCCCCGGACACGTGATTTTCTTGGCCGGTGGAATGACCCACTTGCACATTTTCTTTTTATAGTATACTTAGTTAAATCATTTATTGCTAAGTAGGCGTTAAACACTTTACGTAAAAGTTTGGTTTGACCTAGTTTCAATTCACGCCTGTAAAATCACTCAGTAATAAATCAGTGTATGATATGAGCAGCACTCAAACGGGTCGGTTTTCTTTAGCACTCTTCGGAGTAACCCATCCCTCATCAGCAAGCATAGCATAGCAACTATTACAGTAATGGTACAATGTTTTCGATGTCTAAGCGAGTCTGTAATGGGATAATGATGGTCAAAACCAAAAGAGCTTCTACTTACGGAATTGGGCCCCGGCAGCACGGAATACACGATGGTGGCGTGCGGGCCGGGCTGGTCGGCGTCGGCGGCCTTGACGCGGAGCACGCGCGCGCCTACGGCCGTCAGCTCGGACAGGCGCGCGCGGAAGGGCGCGCCCGCCCACGCCGGCGCGTTGTCGTTCACGTCCCACACGCGCACCGACACCGGGATCACGAAGCTCTACGGACGAAGTCGTAAGATTTACGGTTTTTGCATTGCTAATCTTGAATTACCTCATCAGGTCTTCTTCTTTTTTATGATGTTGGCAATACACGTCGAGGTCGACTTGATTTGTGCCATTTTCAAGTATTTATGTGATACGAGTTACAAAATGAGATCAAGTAATGAAATAATGAAGGATGATAGATGATACCCCTTCCGACCCTTTGAGTCTCAGTAAAGTTGTGGTGCTTTACTGAGACCTCCTATGGACAACTTGAGAGAACCAGAAGAATCACTATGCACTGTTTTGCTTCACTTGCCCACACTCATGCACGTTCACGAACACTTAATGGTTAATAATCCACTATTATTACACATTAATAGTCGCCGAAACACGAATTTGAGGAAATAAAACAAAACCATGACGCTTCAGATTCCCGCCAAGAAGTCCACCTCATCAGGTCATTCGTTCTCCACTGCAAGGGCATTAGTTATCCATCTCTAACTGACCAGAAGCAAATTTACTGGGCGACTGTCTGGCTCTCTTAGCTAAGGACAATTTTTTTTTATCCACAACGAGGAAGTTCTTAGCCTGTATCTCACCTGATGGTAAGTGATGATCAGGCCGAAGGTGGAAGCGAGCATCACCCGGAATCCTTAACCACGGAGGAACTGGCTATCTTACCTCTAACTGCCGGAACACAACAATGCTGTTAACATTGTTGTTATGGTGACAGACTTAGGTAAGATGGTGGTAGCTAGCCAGGCGGACTTACAACAAGCCCTACCACCAACCAAACCGAACAGAAAAATCTGCTCCCACTGGGAATCGAACCCGGGACCTCTGCGTCTGAAGCAAGTGGTCTTACCACTAGACCACAGAGGTGGCAAATTGTTGACATGAGCCAGAATCGTTTCTCTCTTTGCTGCTGCAACCGCAGCGATATTATTTATGTCGCCGCCTCGCTGGCCGCCTGGATCACTCACGGGGTCGGTGGTCCGGCGGCGGTCGCAGCGCACGTTGACGTACACGTTGGACGGCCCGCGCAGCTCCTCGCGGTCGAGCGGCCGCAGCAGCGTGAGGTTCTTGGAGCCCGCCGCCACGCCCACCGCCGCGCCCTGCTCCTGCAGCCGCAGCGATATGTCGCCGCCTCGCGGGCCGCCTAGATCACTCACGGGGTCGGTGGTCCGGCGGCGGTCGCAGCGCACGTTGACGTACACGTTGGAGGGCCCGCGCAGCTCCTCGCGGTCGAGCGGCCGCAGCAGCGTGAGGTTCTTGGAGCCCGCCGCCACGCCCACCGCCGCGCCCTGCTCCTGCAGCCGCAGCGATATGTCGCCCGCCTCGCTGGGATCGCCATTCACGCTTAGGGTTCCTGATAATCATTGAGAAATTCTAAAATTTGGTGTTTGTGCATGAATTCTCCACAACAAAAATCAAGTTCTTATACATATATTCTTCAACATTATTCTAATGCCCATTTTCACCATCAATCCCTATTTTTTTCAAACTTGGGATTAGCCATAAGAATTGGTTCAAACTTTAGCTTAGACACGGCAGTAAGAAATGAACGAACCGATGACGCTGCCCACCGGCGTGTCCTCGCTGATGAAGAAGCTCTCCACCGCGCCGCCATTCATCAGGTAGCACCGGCTGTCCTGGATCGCTGCAAAAAATACAACCTTCGTTAAGTTTGCTTTACCTAAATAACAATTTTATACCACATGCACTTTCTAGTATCGAGGATAACAGCATTAATGCTGTCGTCTTCTTAAGTGATATGTATAATAGTACTCTGAAACCGCCCTTGTTGTTAGGTTAGTAGTAACGTAATTTCCACACTATGGCATCGACGTGAAACCGTATTTTCTTTCTAGTAATTAACCCTTGACATACTTAGGTACGAGTATATGCCGTAAATTCGGTTATGAATGTGCCCATTACGATGTGAACTACAACAGTCGTGTTTGTTCCTGAAACCTAATAATTTTAGCTTACTGCAAATTAGACATCTTGTTGATATAAGGAGACATTTATATTTTTTTCTTTTTTTGCGTATGAATCGATTTTTAAACAATACTTACGATAATATACGATCATTAGGATCATCGCCCTTCATTCCATTCAGTCAATAAATAAAAATATATTAACGATGATTATTATCGACACATCATCTAGTGATTGTCTACCGGGGTCAGCTAACCGGGTCGGTACTTCGTCACTTATCAATCCAGGACAGAGCTCCCCCTATGTGGTGGTGGGGTCACCCTAGAAGGAAATCGAACGTTTAGCCGCTTTGTGTTTTTGTTTAGTTCTTCACTTCCGATGCAGATTAATTTAAGTATTTTGTTTTGTTTATAGTTAGTTTGTGTAATGCGGTAAATATTTGAATGAATATTTCCATGCCAGGGGATTTTATAGGTTTTATAAATCAAAGCTACCTGCATTAAAGCCCAATCGATTGGTTACCTCCCACAATTGGTTGGGAGTCTAAAGTGGGACCTATGTTTAATAATTTTCAACATTCTAGTGAATATGACGTAGCAGCCACACTCGTTAACTTTCATTGAATAAATTATAACAATTGCAAACGCTTTAACTGCACTAATTGAGTAATCAATTCAGTTACTGTTGAGTATATCTGAACATAATAATTGTTCACGAATTGAATTCAGAATTACAGTATAATGTTGTCGAATTGGGGTTTAATGCTCGGTAAATGGTTTAATAATGCGTGTAACCATGCGAGAGCTCCGGTGCGGTTTAATTGCGGTTCGCACCACGGCCCTGCACTGCTGAGAGCGAATGTAAGTAAGGGCTCACGGAAGGAATGCTTAATATTTTTAGGTCAGATTTATTTGAGATGGATTTTTCCTTAATAGGTATTAAAGTACCCTCACTAATTTATTTATTACCTTACAAACTCAAACCATACCTACTTTTTAGATAGAGTTTATAATTTGAACAGTGTCTACGAGTATCACATGTCCTTGCTACACGATTTTGTAAAATTAAAGTTTTCAATTTAAATTTTTGACACCACAGATTTAAATGCAACAACTTAGTATACTAGCAATTCGTTAAAATGTAAGTAAGGTCAAAGAAAATTGCGAATGGCACGAATGGTGTGTGAATCACGTCGTTTAACAAGTCGTCTGCGCACAAAAAGCTTAATTACCACAAAAAGAGACGCGAGCGCAGTCGCGCGTGGACACACACGCCCGCGGGCAGACCAACGATAAGCTTGAGTACTAATAAAATATGACTTTCCGATAAGCTTGAGTAAAATATTACTTTCAGTACACTTTTTTTACTTTCAAGTGATTTTCCAGGTGTAATTGGCTTGTATTTTACCTAGCTCATAATTTGATGAGGTTTTTCAGTTTTTTCCAATCATTAATTTGTTGAGACAAACAATTAAGAAAAGCTATAAAATTATCGCGAAAAAAGGACAACTTTATTAATAAAAAAACGGAAGTTCATAGTAGGTAAGTAAGGTAGAAATAATGACGTAAGTATGCTTCTTAAGGGCATATTCTTGGGTGTGGATGTCATTTTGTAATCTGTTTCGTATAAGCATTTTCCTGTCGTGCGTAAAAGCACTTATCATATGCCAATTGCCTCAATGCTACATAATAATTATGTGGATCGTTAAGTTTCGTACTTCAAATTTCTGGAAAGCAGAAGTTGCAATAATAGGCTTGTAACACGATAGTAAACACTTTCCCGTGAACTATGGTATTATAAAAACATCGTCTCGTTGACCGCGAGCTATCATTACAAGCTCATTGGTGACCCATCACGACCTCGCCTCTACAATCAGAGGCAATTTCTAGAAACATTTTAATATTAACTTCATTAAAATGCCAAATGATATTAGTAAGTGGGTATGTGGTAGGTAGGTTGGTACGCAATCATACATAATAATACATAATATAAATCGCAAAACTGTGTTGATAAATGACTACGAGTATATGAACTTACTTACCAGAGCCCCGATTACGGTAATTTTTAACGTCAACAATCCAGATACGCTTCTCGATTCTGCGATACGATTGGTCGTTCAACAGCGTACGTCAGCTGTTTTGACCAATCGTATTGCAGAATCAAAAACGCGTCTGGATTGTAGACGTTAAAAGTTACCGTAATCGGGGCTCTGTGTATAATCTATCTAATTTACGTGAAAGTGATTGAAATTAAATAAAACAAACAACATTCGTGCTGACGGCTAAAACAACTGTGGGCAAACAAAGCGTCTAGCACTAATTGTGGACGGCGTAATTACTGCCGGGTTAACAATCTCGATGGGAAATTTAAAAACGAAAACTGATATAGCATTATTTTTCCGGCTAACATTCAGCCATTTTATTGGCTATTAAATATACTAACTTAATTTATTAGGTTCTTAAGAAGAGTTGACTAACTACTGATTCCAAACTAAAATACCACTAAATAAGTCATAGGTACGCAATACTTTTCTATTATGTGGGATTTAAAATTAAAGTAGTGAATTACAATAATGCCAAGGATGATGATTTTTTTTCTGCTGATTTTTACCAAGGATACAGGATTTAACTTAAATCCAACTGTATAAAGTTAGACTAAAGAAAATAGACAGGTAGACGTCCATTGAAGGCTTCAATGAATGACGAAACGCCAAGGCAACTGCAACACGCAAACTTGCAACTCAGCGTAACACTTACTGCAGTGGTGGTGCCACAGACTGGAGAATTTGCAGTTCGCGCATTCCAAGGCAGTTTGCCAAATAACTTCGCTAGATAACGCATATGAGTATTTCTCAAAAAAAATGTACATTTTGAAAAAAAAAAGTGTGCTTTGAAACAGTTCAAAAGTTTTATATTTATAAATCATTACACAAAAAAAACACACACACAATTTTGAAGGATGAATATTTATCTTTAAGATAACGAAGAATTATAGCTATAATCCTGCTTATTACCAAATATTTAGATATTTTAAAAATAGTCCTTTTTTACCTTTCATACAAAAACCTGTTTGCCACCCTAGCTTTTTCATGTATTTTTGTATCATAAAATGCGATACGTAACTAAATTATTGTAAATTTCTTTGTATTATCGTTCTACAGTAATCGCAGTTTCTGTATCAAATTGATTTTCTATGGGGTGTCATAATGAATTGGCAATTTAAAGCGAAAAAACAAAATGAGTCGCTCTCATTTACTATTTCGTTATTTACTCTTTAGTTACGATTTATTTCTACTTTCCCATGGTTTCTGAACAATTCCGTATTTATTTTACACGGACAACAATAGCTGCACTCTGAATGGCTGTTGGCCTGACGTCTCCGCCATAACATCTATCGCGAAAATTAGTGAAAACGTGTGTGTTTTGTGGGATTACTTTTTCGTAACAGGCAGTAAAATCAGCGATTTTATATAGAACGGTAAGTCTTCATTTAACCATTTTTTGTAATACGTGTGGTACGAACATTTAGTAAGCTTTTATATTTGCTGTAACAAATTTTATCAAAAAAATACTTGTTTCTGATCTCATTTTGTCTAATATTTCGTTACGTTTTTTACGAATTTCGTTACGTTACGAAAAAGTACAACATAATGCTGAGTGTATACTGTTATTACCTGACTAAGCATAGTAATATTCACTACTTAATTTATTTCAAAAAATATAGAGCGTTAATAACAAAAGGATTGGATACTATCTGCTTTACAGAAGTGCCACCAGCAAAAAATTATCAAATCATTTAGATTACGTTTTTATGTGATTACTTCTTTTGTTTTTTTAGGAATGCCGCCAAAAACCAATGCCGAAAGGCAAAAAGCTTACAGAGAACGACTCAAAATGGATAAACATGATGGAACAAAAATAATTTTATTAAAATAGTATGAATGATTACTCCCTTATTTTATTTCTAACCCCTTAATATTACCCCGTATTTGGGTGCATACTTACAAATATTTCGAATTGAATAAATGAAGAGCATTCACAATATTTCGCCAATGTATAACAAGCCTTATGGCCTTACTATTTCGTTACTACCGTTTCGTTACGTACACTTTTTTTGAGAAATACTCATATACGAATATTATTAATATTTTTGGTATCGTTGTTTTACAAATATTAATTTCAACATTTACATAGCTAACGTAATGGAAAAATAACATACATATTATTTGCCAACGCATAATCTAATGAAGCTTTTACGTGAAATGGTTGCGCTATGCAATTACATGTAAGTTATTTGACAAGTAATTAAAATGTAAATGAAAATAATACGCGAATACAAAAATACTGTGCAAACAAAACAATACAAAGTGAACCAACTAAACCGTATACAGGGTGGAAACGATAAGTGATCTCATTCGATTATTTCTAAACTATACAAGATATCGTAAAACTGGTTACTGATCCTGAAAGTGCTTCACGAGCTCTATCCAACGGTACCAATAATAGGTTACAGAATTAACTGGATCTATCCGAAAAATAATTATTTTCAGCTTCCATACATTTAGTAAAACCACATAATATTAAAAACTATACAAGATATTCAAAAACTGGTTACTGATCCTGAAAGTGCTTCACGAGCTCTATCCAATGATACCAATAATAGGTTGCAAAATTAACTGGATCCATCCTAAAATTCAATGTTTCCAGCTTCCATACATTT